AGTCTTGGTTTAAGCCACAAACTCTGACAAATGAGATAATCTAGTATTAGCAATTATTTTTCACCTGTTTTTTATTTCTGCTTAGGATGACATGCTCCAGCATTTGATGATGGAAATATTAGCTGCATCTGTTAGCTTTTCTTTATTACCTGAGTATAAGTAGCTTCTATTTCTTGTAGGTTGTCACACTTCACTTTACTGACAGTCTCACTGTATTTCATAACTAGCTGTTAAGGTGGTGTGTGAGGGTGTGTGTGTGTGTGTTTAGAGACAAGAAACATCCTTTTCTTCTTTTTCATTAAGCCTCATTTTGTATTTCCTGTCTCTGTAATTTCTAGGCCATCAGAGCACACATTCTCACTCCTTTGTGATCTACTGTTAGGTCGGTGGCTGGAGTACGAAGTCTTAGATTAAGCAAACAACCTTCGTTCTGCTCACAATACTGTACCCTAACCTCTCCCCCTCCTAGTGGCCCTCTCTTTTATAGAGTCTCCATTTATGTGCGCACAAACATCAGCGAACTAAACTCCTATCTGGTTCCAGAACTATGGAAATCATGGAGTAATAGTGTCCAGTGATTGCTGCGCATTTGAGTCACCTACACGTTCCCATGTTGGGGTCCCATGTGGGTGTCCTGATTCATTCTGTTTGAGGCAAGGCTCACACATCTGGTACTGAATAGAACCACTCTAGGTGCTTCTAATGTACAAGTAGGGTGAAACTGCCCTTCACAGAGGGTGCACTTGACTTTCTTGTAAATATCCTCAAACAAGTTGAATGCCTCGACTGCTCTCTCTGAAGCTACCTGGCTCTCAGGATCCTGCTCTGTGGCCTGGCGCTTCAAGGCTGTGAGTGTTCCTGTAAGTTCACTGTGCTTGTTATCCCTAGGCCTTAATAGATGACAAACTTGCTTCACCCCTGAGGTTTCATCAAAAAGGCAGGTCTTTTATGCGTTCTATCATCCTGCAGTTAGGGGTGGGTATACATGCCTGGCTAGTATCTCTAGGAGGTCTTAAGGACTCATCTCATGAGTTATGAGCAGAGTGTCTTCCTGAGTATTGTATTGGACATATTGTCCAGTCCTGTCAGTTTCACAAGCATCTGTTACTGACATGGACCAGTTTTCTGTGCTTTCAAGGAAGTGACCTTTCTTGCTCATGTGGCAAGGCGTGGAGGAGGGGGCCCAGCCAGGGGCGCTATTGCAGTGATTGGTAATTTTCCAGGCCTCATAAAATGCAATTAACAATGGGAATATGAGAAGCAGAGAAGTTTATTGTTTCGAAATCTGACTCACACTTGAACAATTACGATCAGCGGTGATCTGATTAGCACCAAAATACCTACTATTAAGATCCTAATCTAAGAGTGAGAGAAAAGAAAACATAGGTACCTATTTTAAAAAAGGTCAGGTATGTACTCTGTTTCTGATCATATTAAGAAGAAATAAGGTGTGTTGACAGGGATACAGCCCTGACAGATGGAGGGGGATGCATCCTGGGAGCAGAATCCCAATTCTTTGACCTATAGGCTGGCGCCTCAGCTCCAAGAGAATGACCCTCAGTTTGTTCCTTAGTAAATACACAATTACAATACCTACCTCAAAGCCTTGCGAGGAGGGACTCAATCAGATTATGTATGTGAAAGTTTCTTTGCAAACTCTGAAGCACTATGTAATTATTAGCTTGACTAGCTGTTTGAGAAACTGGCTTTCTTAATGAGCAGCTCAATGAACCTGCATGTGGTGCACATCCTGGAGGCTATTCCAGGCTGGAATGGGTGCTGGGCCTCTGCAACGATATCACCCTCGGCCACAGCCTCGTGGCTTTTTCCTGAGCCACTGCTGAGCTCAGAGGTTTTCTGAGCTTGAGGTCAAGGAAGTGTGATCAGAGAAGGGAAGAGAAGATGGGCTCAGGAAGCAGATGGGAAGAACTTTCCTCTGGGCCCTATTGGTGGCAGTGGGGTAGGGATGTAGAAGAGCAGCTCCAGGAGAAAAAAGGACTGACCTACAATCATCTAGAAGGTCGTATGCCAAGCCCTCCACACACTTTTTAGGCCATGCTGTTTCCAACAGGTGTGACAAAAATTCTCTGCTTGACCAAACTTTATCTTTTTATTTCTTTTTCTTTTTTTTTTTGTTTTTTGGTTTTTTTCCGGTACCAGGAATTGAACTCACGACCTCGCACTTGCCAGGCAGGTGCTATGCTGTTGAGCTAAATCCCTAGCCCCTTGACCAAACTTTAGTCTGGCACTTTCCTGAAACTTCTCCTCAGCTCCTCTGTACTCTTCCTTGTAAAATCCAGTTTTAGCAAAACACAATGCTAAGCCCATGAGGCAAGACCCCATACCTCCCAGCAATCTGATAACCCTCCATATCCGACGAGGTTCCTTATCCCCAACATCCACCAAGTGGTATCTGGTCACCCTGGCCTGTCTTTAGCAAGAATCCTGTTAAGTTAGATTCACCAGAATTTCCCTTTTGTCTGTGTTTCCTCCTGGTAATTTTCCATCCATTGTCCCACCCTCTTCTCACTTGCCCATGCTGTATTCAGAGTGAACCCCAACCTCTGTCCCTCACTGCAAGACTGTGTTGCAGTGGTTTCTATGCCTAACATGATGGGATTGAATAAACTCTTCATTACTGTGATTTAGCTAATACCGTTGAGCCATTGTTTTCTTTAACAGATGGACCTTTAGGAGTGTGCTGGGGAGATGCCAGGCTCTGTCTGAGCCTAATACTGGATAGGTGAGCCTTGAACTCTTGGGGAAAGGACTCCCATGGCTGTTGATGACAGGGAAGCCATTGTGCCTCTTATTTCTTCTCAGTCACTGTCACAACCAAGCAGAGGGGAGGGAGAGACTGGCCCCAGAACCTGCCCTAGACCCCAGAAGACACTGCCATAGCAGGCGATCCCTTGGCTCTATTATTTTGCTGATATGCCAAGAAAGTCCTGAGGCTGAGTCCTGTATCACACATGTAGACAAACTTTAGACTCTGAAGGGGAAATGTGGTCTCCTCCTTCAGGGTTCATGCTGTAGAATAGCTTGGGCGGCTAGCAGGTGATCAAGCAGAAGTTTTTATTATGGCTGAGCTCCATTCTCTTTTTACTAATTTTACCACATGGTTTCTCCACTCACAATCACCACTTTAGCCTTTCTGCTGAGTTTCCACAGACCCTTCTATAGGAGTGCTGAGGAAACATGGGCAGCAGGACTCAGAGAAGGTTTCAGGCCCCAGGCTAAGGTCAGATGCAGTGATCCTGCACTGGGCCTCCTGTGGGACCCAAGCTTCCTGCTGCTCCTCTGGGGGGTAGAAATGCTAAGTAGCAAGCCCCTCATTTGCAAATCTTGCTTCCTTATACTTATGCCATAATCCTGTTAACAGAAGACAATTGATAACCTTTTTCTACTGCTAAGGAGGTACCAGCCTGGGCACTGAGGTTGACTTCACATTCCTCTCACAAGCAAAAGGAAGAGGACACCATCTTTGCTATTTCATTGTTCAGATGAGATGACGGCAGTGTGACAGAATAAGTGACTTGTTCAGAGTCACACACCTCGGTAAATGGTAGTACTAAGTGCCACACCCAGTGGGCATTTGAGGCCAGGCTGTTTCTGAAGACAGATCCCTACACTCACCCTTCTGCAGTGGCCCTGGAGAGCTTTGGGGGTTGGATTTCCTCCAAGCATGGTGAGAACACTTTGATTTTGCACGTTCGCCTCTCAGACTGTTCAGTTGCAGGTAGTTTAACACGGGAGAAACTTGGCCTTTGTCTAAGCTGACCTGCTTTTTAGGGAAATGCAAAAGGAGTTGAGAGCTGTGACTCTCTTTAATCCTTGATCACATTAGCCTGATGACACTGCTGCTTTAATCTAAGTGGCTCTTGGGCAAAGTGGGTCAATCCCGCTTTCGTGTTGCAAGTGCTGCCAAGGCGTCTCCCTGGAGGCAAAGCGCTCCTCTCTGCCTTCCCTGTCACCAGTGTCCCGCAAGAAGGTGCTTGCTCTCTCTAGGGAATCGTCCTTTCTGGCTCATGTGATAGTTTATATTGTAATTTTTATATATGTGCTCAAATTATAGTTTCAGTGGATTAGGATGGCTTGAAGCTGGAAGTTGAGAATTTCCTACTGAGAAGGAAATATTTGGTCAAAAATGATGTGGCAGTTGTCTCTTCATATTATTATCAACGTCATGATCATTGACCTTGTCCTCTTCTCTCTCCTTCTCCCTCCTCCTGACTTGATAGCTTGCAACCAGAAGCCTCCCGCCACTAATTCATGTAATCAAGGTAGTCGCGATGTACTGCCACAAAACTGCTTTTTTGGTCCGAATATCATGACTTGTATCTAGCGTAGGTTGTTAACAATAACCTCCAAAAGCCCACTGCTTTGGTTTAATGCTGTGATTGGTATCTTCCAAGTCACCATTGTTTTTTAATGGACTATAAAGTAGTTTCGGAAATTTCTAGAGTCATGGGTTGTGAATTTCTCCATGGTGTGTTTGTATGCATTTATACTAACCTGAATTCAGAGTTTTTGGTGCTTCGTTGCTTTTTGGAGAGAAGGCATTTTGTTAGTGGGCACTGTGGTAGAAAGTTGGTATCATCTGGTTGGACCAGGGGATGTTCAGGGAAGGCACAAACCCAGAGACAAAGTCACTTGTGTTTTGACATGAAATGTTTGGTGCAATCTGAAACCTTAATACACTGATACCCCAAATTAAATAAGGGAGAAATGACACCCACACCAGGATCTTGGAGAAACCGTATCTGGCTCTTCTACCTTCTAGGAAAGTGTCTTCACATTACAGGTAGATAGGGTCAGGCTGTCACACTTTCTATGGGACATTAATGTACTTTCAACTCTAAAATCCTGCTTGTATTTTTACATGTCTCTACAAGACTTCTCAGTAGTAAGAGGGAACCAGGATTCAGTGTTGATCTTGAGAGGAACGGAAAAGAAGGCACCACTTTCTGACCTCACATTCTCTTGCTTTCTTTTCTCAGGGACCTGATGCCGAGGACGCTGGAGGGGCAGATCACCATGGAGAAGACGCCCAGCTACTTCGTCACGCGGGAGGCGCCCGCGCGCATCTCGGCCATGTCCAAGGACACCAAGCTCATCGTGGTGGTGCGGGACCCGGTGACCAGGGCCATCTCAGACTACACGCAGACGCTCTCCAAGCGGCCAGACATCCCCACCTTCGAGAGCTTGACGTTCAAAAACAGGAGCACGGGCCTGATCGACACGTCGTGGAGCGCCATCCAGATCGGCATCTACGCCAAGCACCTGGAGCACTGGCTGCGCCACTTCCCCGTGGGCCAGATGCTCTTCGTGAGCGGCGAGCGGCTCATCAGCGACCCGGCGGGCGAGCTGGGCCGCGTGCAGGACTTCCTGGGCCTCAAGCGCATCATCACGGACAAGCACTTCTACTTCAACAAGACCAAGGGCTTCCCCTGCCTGAAGAAGGCCGAGGGCAGCAGCAAGCCCCACTGCCTGGGCAAAACCAAGGGCAGGACCCACCCCGAGATCGACCCCGAGGTGGTGCAGCGACTGCGCGAGTTCTACCGGCCCTTCAACCTCAAGTTCTACCAGATGACGGGGCACGACTTTGGCTGGGATTGAATGGACCATGGCTGTGTAACTTACCATGTGGCTTATATATTGACAGAGATTATATGTATGTAAAATGTACAGAAATCTATTTTATAATAATTTATTTTTAATTCATAAGCAATTAATTCACTAAGCTGCCTACCCACACTCTTTAGAGAGTTAGCTTCATGGTCTGTTAACATTCCAAAGTGTTTAATTCTGATATTTTGTTCTATGCCTCATAACTGATGGTGCTTCCATTTCCCCTCTTCCTTCCCTATTGTATTTAAAAAGAAGAAAAGCACAACTTGAGATTTTTGTTGTTACGGGTATTCAGCCTTCGATTGCTGTCCCAGTTTTCTGGCTGCTGTCTGCTTGTGTCTGGGCCTCCAGTTCCAGCTTCCAGTCCTTGCTGCTTGTACCTCCTAGGAGCACTGAGCTGCCTCCACAGTGCTGTGTTCTGAAGGTCAGGCCTCACGTAGCGGCTTCCTCATCCATGTGTAGCTATTTCTGAGGATGTAGACTCCAAACCACCATGCTGAGGATTTTCCTCACCTCCACCAAGCATGGAGGGACTCATCACCCGTGTAGGGACATCCACATCCTCTAGAGTTTCAGTGACAGGGTCCATTTCTTTTAGCCTTTGATGTTGAACAGTGGCCCATCGTCCCCTTCTGCCCCATTCCTTGGTCCATTAATGGCTGGAAGTGTGAGCAGATGTTAGCCCCTCTTGCCCAGGTCACCTGCTTGGGTGCTGCTTTAGCAATAAAGATGATCTTTTCTAATTTGCGCGGGCATGCACTGTGCTCTTTTCTCCAGGCAGACAGCTCTGCTGTGACACACCAAAGAGTTCCATATCCTCGCAGGGCCACCTGCATAAACCCAAGGCGCTGGGGCTCGAGACCCATAGGGGTCAGGTGCATCCCTTGCCATTAGCATCTCCCAAGCTGTTGCTAGGTGCAGAACTGGTCAGCACTGGGCTGTAGGCTCACAGTCTCACTAGGGAGAAAAGACAGAGACTCACAAATGAGAGGCAGCCTGGCAGAGGAAGGAACTCCCTGTATCCCCGACTGCTGTTGCTCTGGAATTCTTGGCTCATCTCAGAACGAGCACATGGCAGTAGGAGTGGCCCTTTCAAAGGCATGTTGCAAAAGCTGGTCCCATGTTCTGCAGCTACTTGGGCCAGAAACTCGTGCAGCTGTCCTACATCAGCCAAATCTTGCAGAAAGGTTGCCGGCATCATTACTACTGTGCAGATGGCTCTCCCCATCCCTCTGCTTTGAGTGCAGATAGGGATCGTTTCCGATGAGCAGCTGGTGGCACCTGGATAACCATATAGCGACATCACATAATGACATATCTAGTTAATCTTCAGTTTTCTAAACCAGAATACTTCTATCACAAGAAAATTGTTTTTTGAGTTATACTTTCCTCAAGGAATAGGTGGGAAGATGTACTGATTGTCAATATAGTTGAATTGTGATATTTACAAAGGATGCCTTTGTATGTTTTATGGGAAAACTTGACTGATTGGGTAAGAAAAGTTGTACAAAAAAAGGAAAGAATAATTTATATATAGAAACTAATCCAGAAATGTTGCTGGTCTTTCAAGTGACATTTTGATAATCTAGCTTGTATTTGTCCACAAATTTTAGCCTAGCTCTTAGCAGCAAAAGTATCTGGGCAGGCTGTATTTAGGGAGGAAGATGATCAGAGGCTCTGTGTGTTCCTTAGATGGTGTATCCAATTTATAGGGTTTTTTATTGTCTTTACAAAATGATGTGGAACCTGCACTTAGTGCAACACTGTAATCATAGCATGGCTCTCCACTCCTCCTGCCTGGGTGTGAATAACACCCGCATAAGGGTGCTAACTGGTGTGAGTTTTTTGTTGGAAGGCTCACTTGCAATCGAAGTAGAACACCGCTATACAGTTACAGCATAACCTTGCTTGAAGTAAGGCAGCGTCCAAGTCCTTCACCACATCTTGTCCTGTTGACTTCCTGGCCACTCTCATGGTCAAAGGTGACTCAGGATATAGAACTGCAGAACAGTTCAGAGAAAGTTATGCAACAAAACCATAGGAAAGCATGTATGAGCCTTTCTTTCCCCTTCAGGCCCCTGACCTTCCAAGCTGGACAATTTTTGATTGTTTATTCCCAGCTTTAAAATAAAACCGAAACAGGAAATTTTCAGATAGGAAGGTCATTTAGGCACAAACACTGAAGTGGGTCAAAATTCTATTTTAGGTCAAGTCCTTGAATTCAAGCAGATGTTGATAATTAGCACTGATGGAATAGCGCAAATTTTTCCAAGTAAGACAAATAAATCCAAAATCTCGTGCACCGCTTGCTCGTAAGGCTCTGATAGCTTACAGCTCCTGACCCGTGCGGATGCTGCCTCTGCCCCAAGGTTAGACTTTCTCACGTGATAGTTATTACAGCCCTGCATGTCTTCCTCTTGGGGAAGTTAGGCAGTGCAAAAAACTGAACCTTGGGTTTCTTCCTCTTGCAGCCATCTGCAAGGCCATGAAACTTAACATTTTAGCTGCTAGAAGACAAACACCACATCACGCGTCATATTCTGGCATTTTGTTCCAGCACATGTTTTGGGTTTCTTTTAGGACACCCAAAAGGAAACCTCTGTTCACTGGAATGTTTTATTCTCAGTTTTGTTTCTTTCTTCATTTAACAGCAAGCAAAAAAGATTAGCAAGGAAAATGGAGATATTTCTATCTATTGACTGTTTTCTTTGAGGTGCTTGTGTAATCATCTGTTAACTGGCTAGGTAGTGCCTGGAAAGTTATTTTAAGACTGTGTAATAAATTCTTAATTGGATGATTGAGGAGAAGTTGTCTTATTCCTGCGATTCTCTTTGTGAGTCGTGTTGAGCGGCAGATAAATTTAGACCTTTGGAGAACCACAGTTGCAGATGATGCTGCAGTGTTTTGGTAAAAAAGGAAAATGGAGTCTCTAAAGAGTTGGGAACGCTTCAGTGAGTTTCTAAGATGCTGATGCAGTCAGTGTTGTTTGTTTTTTCAGTTTATCAGGAAGGATGGTTAATGCAATTTAAAGGTGTGTTTAGATCTTTTTTCATTTTTGTAACATTAATTTATGACAGAGTTTCATTCAGCCCCATAATCTAAAATACTGTGCAAATTCTAGCCGTATGTCTTCTATAACCTGGATTTTAGAATAGCCGATATGTACAAAAAATTAAATCAAGTATTTTGTCCTATGTATAACACAAATTAATTTTACACAGAGAAAGATGTTTCTAGGAAAATGAAATTCTGGTAATTCATACTATTGCTTTGTATGAATAAATAAAATATATTTTACCAACTTGTGGGTGCTTTAATGTTTTACTGTGTATTGCAGATAGAGAAGGTAGAAATTTTTTATTCAATGAGTGATTATGTTATAGGGTAGTTCCTTTAGAAATGGCTCATCAATTAAACATACTCCAGGTTCTTCTTCCCTTGAACAAAGCATTGGATGAGACAAGCCAAAAACAGTACCAAAAGTTTATTTGAAAAGCGACGGTGAAGGGGTAAGGAAGAACTAGCTCTTTAGAATGAAGTTGGGCTGAACAAAGAGGAAAAGGATGAAAACAGAAGACTGCACTCTGTGACGCAGTGTGAACCACCAGGAGGAGTTGTGGCCGCGCTCCTCGTGGCGTCTTGTTTCTGGTAGAAGCCTGGGAGAAGTTCCATAGAGGAGGTCCTGGGCATTATTTGGTGTTATCCTGGGGTCTTGTAATTGACAGGTCTCACTTATTTCCCCAGCCAGCTTTGCCACATTGCCTCCTATATCAATTACACGTGTCTGAAAAAAAGTCATTCTCAGGCGGGCTTATGTTTTTACATTTTTAGGGGGTCCAATCCAAAAGCCAGTTAATCCACAAGTATTTAGGATGAACATTTTGTAAACGGCTATACAGGCAAAAGAGGGAGAGAGAGGCCCTGCACCCTGGAAGAGCTTAGTCTCCACCTGCATGTGCGGTCCAACAATACCTAGGCCACACATGCAGGGCAAGGCAGGTGTCGGTGGGATGGCCGCACATCACATAGCAGGTTGGGTGTGAGCAGGGCCCTTTGGCTGGGTGAGTTTGTATGGTAGGGTTGCAGGGTGTTTATGTTTCTGTGCAAACCATTTGCTGTAAGCAAGAGACAAAAGGCACTGGGCATGGCAATCAATATTTTTAGTTTTCTCAAACTGCCTTCTGCTTCCTTTGGACATAGCACCTCATCTGTACTATTATTGTTTGCTAAAATATTTGTATTACTCTTATTTGACTTAATTTTAAAAGGAACTATTATAGTTCTAAGTGAGAAACTAATTTCTTGCCATAAAAAGGCGGTGATTATAAAAAGCACAGTGAAAACATGGAAATACTACTAGTTTCTAGCTAGATAGTGTAAGTGAGGTGGTAGCAGTCCTTGCCTTAGGCTCAATGCTTCTGGTTGGCAAGACCAACTGAGCTTTGCCTCTAACGGAGCTTTGCATCTAATGGAGCTTTGCATCTAACAGAGCTTTGCATCTAACAGAGCTTTGCATCTTGCTGTGAAGAATGAAGAGAAGCGAAGAAGGAAAACCTGTACAATGTGATTCAGTGTTGAGCCCATGCATACAATAGATACTAGAGTCCTTTCCTCTCAATCTCTCCTGTAGCATTCAGTTGCCGAGGTTGCCTCCCACCTCGGGAAACAGTGAAAGTCACACTCGGAACATCTTGGGGAGAGGTGCAGAACTGGAAAGTAGGCTGGCATTTGGGAAGGCTGAGGAAGGAAAATCTGAGTAACATGGCAACTAGGAAGCCAGTTGTTCAGCCACCATTAAGATCTGGTTTTCAAAAGCCAGCATCCCATGGAGACTGGCTCCTTCTGACCCAGGAATATGCCACCCAGTGAAATGTGTGTATGCCTCCAATGTTGATATGACTTTGTACCCCATCCCATCAATTTTAAGATTTTTCTACAGAAAGGTAATAAAATGGGCCTGAAAATCTACTTATTAACCTGATAGCACAGTTTAGAGAAGGTTTCAAGCTTGGGCAAATAGTCAAATGAGCTGGAGAAGACTTTAAAAAGACTCAAACACACCCCACACCATTTACATTTAGAATTTCTAAAGGTTGAGGCCCCAGTAATATAGACAGACAGGTTGGGGACCCCTAATCCAAAAATCTAAAATCTAAAATTCTCCAAAACTCAAATCTTTTTGAGCACTGATATGTCACAAGTGGATAATTCCACACATGGTTTCATGTGATGAGTTATAGTCAAAACAAACCCACTAATATTTATATATTAAATACTGTATAAAATTACCTTCAGGTGCATGTGCATAAGGTGTATATGAAACATAAATGAATTTCTTGATCAGATCTGAGTTTTATCCCCAAGATACTTTATTATATATATGCAAAATATTTCAAAGTCTGAAAAAATCCAAACTCTGAAACATACTTCTGTTCCCAAGCATTTCAGATAAGAGTACTCAGCCTGTGTTTAAAGAGTGCTTCCTGTGCTTCTAATGCATAAACAAGATTGAGAGCTATTGGTTTACAGTTGTTCTCAAAGCGGACCACATCATCACCACATCATCCAGCATCACCTGGAAACTTGATAGATATGAAAATTCTTCAGTTCTACAGCATCTACAGAAATGCTGGTCCCTTGGTTAACAAGCCCTCCAGGTGATTCTGATTGACATCAAAGTTTGAAAACTGCTATGCTAGACAAGACTTCATACCACTCTAAAACTAGAGATTGGGGATTCTTAATGAAATATGTTCTCCTTTGTACCATGCTTTTTATCAAAAAAAGTCAATCAGTTACCCCTTATAACCCTGGATCCTCCCTAAGGTAAGCCCTCTCATAGTTGCTCTTGTAGCATTTCAGATAGTGCCAAGTCCACCTGGCTTCCCCTGTTGAGCTGCACTACTTTTATCAGGCAACCCCCAAACTGTCATGGGAATGTTTTCACAGAACTGCCTGAAAGTGGAATGTTGGACCTGTAAAGGATTTTTGAAAGACTTCTTTAAATGCCTCATTTAACCGTGCTTTCTAGTCAGCCTTCAACAATACATCCCCACTGTTTTATATATGATTAATAATTATTTCTTCTTTAGGCAACACATTGTCTAATAAGATCCACTAGTTAGTCATTCAAGGTGACAGAGCCTTCCAGGCCATTTTATTCCTCATGATAACAGCCTCATCTCTCCCTATAGTTCATATTACGAGCATCTAATTTCCTTCTTTTCTCTATTGCCATAATTGCTATTACATGTAAATCCATGTTATGGTTTGTGTCTGGGTGTCCCCCCAAAGCCTCATGTGGTCATGGGGCAGGCTTTTAGAGTTCTACTGATTACAGGTGTGAGAGCTACACCTGCCCTGGGGCGGATAGTTTGCATATGTAAGGGAGAGGAAGAGGCTGCTTGCTGCCATTCCTTCCTTTTGTTCTTGTTTTTTCTGTGTTCCACCGCCATGAGCTGTAGCCCTCTGCCATGTGCCACTCGGCCTTGTAACCAGCCAAGTATGGACTGACACCTCCATAAGCTGTAGGTGAAATAAACCTTTCCTTAATTTTGGGCATCAGGTATTTTGTCCCAGCAGAGTGGAAAGTAACCAAGACAAATGGTAACATTCTCATTGATTGCACAAAGTCATCTGTAGTCCCATCTTTGGGTTTGTAGCTGACATTTCCCATTTGAGAGTGTGGGATGTTTTTGCTCCCTTCCAAGAAGCTATTTCTTCTGTGAACTAAAAGTGGTTTAAGGACCTCAATGGCTAAGGTTTCCTGAGAAAGGTGAAGGTATGGAATTAATGTTTTCCCCTTGGACTTGCTTTACATCTGTGAGGTGTTAGTTTTTTAAGTCTTCCCTTTCAGGCCCCAGTACTTCCTGCTCTGCTGTTTATAATTGCTCCAAGAATTCCTGACCTGTTGGCATGATTTCTATTGTCATATATTCAGGCTGAGGAAAAAGGGCAAGGCACCTCTTAGCAAGCAGCAAACAGGCTGAAATCAGAGGTTGGTTCATCCATTCCTTATTATTTTCCAAGTGACTACTGCTGCTAGGAACTCAACCCTTAAAGCAACGCACACTTCCTGCTTCAAGGAGTTCACAATCCATGATGGAGTTGAAGCTATCCCTGAAGATGCAACCCGACTGCAACATGATTAGGGCTCTGGTGCACTGGTTGGTGTTCTCCAGACAAATGAACAGGATTTATTATGCAATTGGTTCAAAGAGTTACAGGAAGCGGAAAAGTTTCACAGTACACCCTGTGCAAAGTGGAGAGCCAGGAAATTGGTAATATGGTTCAATCCAAGAAGCCACAAGCCTCGCAATCAAGATTGTTGACTATGCAGCCCCCTGTCCAAAGCCAAAGGCCTGAATGCAGTTGGAAGACTGCTGTGCGAAAGTCCCAGAGACCAAAGGGTAAGGAAACTAGAGTTTGATGTCCAAGGGCAGCAACAGGAAAAGTTTGTCCCTCTTGGGAAAGAAGTGACAGGGAGGCAATTTCCTTTCTCTTCTGCTTTGCTGTTTCATTACGGGCCCTAAGAGATGAGATGACGCCTGCCCTTCAGAGCAGACCTTTCCCACTCAGTTTGTTGAGCCATATGCCAGTCTTCTCCAAGGACACCCCCCTAGACACACCAAAAAAGCATGCTTTATTAGTTCTCCAAGCATTTCTCAACCCAGCTGGGCAGGGTGACACAAATCTGTGATCCCAGCACTCTGGAGGCTGAGGCAGGAAGATCACAAATTCGAGCTCAGCCTGGGCAACTTAGCAACTTTGCAAGACCCTGCCTCAAAAAAAACCAAAATCCAAAAAACAAACAAACAAACAAAAAGGGCTGGGGATGGATGTAGCTCAGTGCAAAGGCCCTGGGTTTAATTCCTAGAAACACACTCAAATTGATGCCCAAAATCAACCATCACTCATGTGGAGTTAGACAAATGCCTGACCTGATTTGAGGCAGGGGAGGGGGAGGGTCAAGCCTTCAAAGGTGATGGGATGTAGTCAGGTGATTGGATGGATGACGGGGAGAGCAGCAGCAGCAAAGATGCAGTTGTGTACCAATTCAGTCTGGTGGGAGCTGCAGAGCATTCCATAGGGCTGTATCTTGGAGTGTGTGGGGTAAGGGAAGTGGATGGTTTTGGCAGAATAAGCAGAAGATCAGATCGTATTGCAGGCAAAGTCTCAGCAGTGCAGCTGATTTTGAGGTCCTGAGTTCTCTCTCCACTGGCTACCCTGAGATATCTACGGTGACATTTCCATAGACAGCAAGGCACTAAACAGAACTCTTGATTTTCTTTTCTGAATCTT